CCATTCCGTGTGTTATTCGGCCAGCCAAGCACGCGTTTGACCGGGCATGTCGCTTCGTTGTTCACATCTAAGCGACATCGCAGCGGGTGGCCTTCATTTGGCTCACACATGGGAAGTCCCCCTAAATGTTAAGGATATAGACGGTGCACCCATTTGCTGGTGGTCTTTAAAGCCTAGTGCTTGGCCATAGTTGAACTTGAAGCTATTTTGAAGTTGATTTTTTTGCTTTTGGAGACTACAAGGGTGACGATGTTTTTTGAGGGTTCGTTCATGGGAAACGACCTTTAGACATCAGCGGGCGTTCTTAAAAAAGAACAACATAAAGTAGGAGTCATTGACAGGATGGGGGTCCTCAACGAGTTGAGACGAGAAACGAGGTGATTAGTAGATTAGTCGATCATGTGAGCATATGTGAACCCTGAGATTTCCGCCATTAACTTTGCAGTCTCAAGAGATGTCTCAGTTTGTATCCAAAGGACACACTAGGCATATAATTCCCAGAAATGACAGGCAGATGTATAGATATGTATAGATCATAATAGATCATATATTGTGACTATATTCCCGACATACATCATATGTAATATATAGATAGATGAGTTCTTCAAGTATGCGAAACGTGAACCCGCAAAACAGATGCCGCTTGTTGACTGCTTCACTGGTCGACGGCAGGCGGCCTTGTGGCGGGAGGAGATTTGTGCCCTGCAGGCGTGCGAAGTCGGCGGCGGACCCTCCCAGGACTCTACGGCAGGTAGACGAGAGGGCGGTATCCGAAGCCAGAGACCAAGTTCCCGAGATAGCAAGTTCTTGCTACATTTGCCAACCGGGTTGCGGTTGGGGTTGGGAGGGGATGTGGAACTGCGAGGTTGGGAGAAGGTTCAGGGGATCATGTCAAGGATCGGGAGTGCTCCAGTTGACTGCAAGATGAGCCGTGATGCGTTCAAACGAACCCTGGTTCTGCCAGATCAAGCGAGTGGCACAAGAGTGGAAGGACAATGTCCAGGCGTCGCCTAAATGGGGCAGGGACGGGGTGGAAAAAGGACCCAAAAAAGTTTGGCAAGATGCAGCGCCTGGAGCAAAAATATGTTCAACTGTATGCATTGAGCCAGTCTGTAGGCAACCATCATTGAGTTTGACTAGGAAGTTCGGAAGAGCATCAAACTCGCAACCCTGAACTTGCCAGAGACTTGCGTGCGTTGAGTCAGATCGACCCTCTTTTCTGTCAACTTGGGGTTCTGAATACTCATACCGCCTGGAGGGCTTTTAATCGACCTGACTTGTGCAACTCTTTTCTTGATATGCTGTGGCTGGAAGGCGTTATATACACCCCTCGTTCACGGACTTCCTTGACCTAATTACAAAAGAAGGATCAAAGACATCCGCCCAAACATGCCCAGAAGGCAAAACACATATGTTTTGTGGTTCTGCCGAGCTTCAGCGGGTGAGTAGCAGGGAAAGAGGGGAAAGAGTTTCATGGGTTGGAATCTCAATTCTCATCGACAGCGTTTCGCCCTTGTCACAGCTTCACACATTTGCTTTGGCCAACGCATTTGCTGACTATCAGCAACCACGTGAGGCCGACCATGATGACCCGGTTGAAGCAACCGCTCGCCGGTCTCGAAGTCCAGATCTCATTAAACACAAATGTTGAACTATAACTATGCTATGTCCACATCTTATGTTTATCTCTCATGTTGTGTACATCGCTTCTCTCGTTTCCGAAGTCGTCGGTGCGGTGCTAGGCGTTGAAGGACGCCGGGCCGCCGCCGTTTGGAACAACGCGGATCAAGTCGAAAGTCGAAAGACATCGCTTGAACGGGTACCATGAACGCAACGTGAGCTGGCGTCCAGGTGGAGTTCCAAGAGAGGAAGCAAGAGTTGGAGAAGGTCCTGGAACGTGTTTGCTGCCTAAAAGGTGAAGAGGGGGGTCGACGCTGGATGGAGATGCGGACCAGACCGATAGTACCACGATTTGACTCCATATGCGGACAGAGATGCACTGTTGTATGTCTCTGTAGTCGTGATTGGTGGAGAAATTTGAACCTTTTTGTGACCTGGTCTTGTCGATGACTGTAGAGTAGGACAATGGACTCCTTCCTGGCGGGCTGCTAAAGCCTTTTATCGAGAAAGGTAGCCTGATAAGAGCAAACTTGAGTTTGCGTGGCCCTTTCTGTTTGCCCTTCTCAGATTGGTCTTACAGGGCTTGGGATCCTGGCAATGTCGCCCTTTCGCTTGTACCGTTTCCGCAGCTAGTGATGGCATGCCGCAGCCTTCAAAGCCACCGTGAAAGAAAGGGTGGAGCTGTTGGCTGTTCTACAAACTCGTGGATCCCAGTCCTTGTCTCAAAGCCTCGCCGTTGAACTAGTGCCGGGATATTTTCATCCACGGGGAGAGTCCAAGGAGGAGACATGATCAAGATGTTTGCAAGGCTTTAAAGTGAACCTCCAGAGCATTCACTTACTGTATACTTCGAGCACAAGAATAGGTCTCAAAAGGTGCTGAGAGACCCTATGTTCACCTCCGGGTGATACTAAAAACGAGCAGGAATCGGATCCACACACCTTGTCAGCTACGACGTACCACTGGACCCGTGTGGACCCGACGACCGGAGTCATCCGGGTGGACCGGACCGACGCGCCGAGGTCTCGGACTATGTGTGCCTGACCTGTTGGTCTTCCCACCGCGGGGCACAAGGGATGGAGTCACAAGGGTGGATTGACAGGCAATGACTGTCTAAGGGACACGAAAAAAAAGGAAGATCAGGTCGGTCCCAAGGGTGGATTCGCTGGGAAAGCAAATTGGAAAGGCAAGACCCGAAACGTCGACGCACTCATCACGCACAAGATCCTCCAGATTCTCAAGCATTGCTTGCATATTCTCCAGACTCAATGGGCAGCATCTTGGTCATGTTATGTCACGTCGTTTTTGGCCATGTCATCTCTTTGCGGCTGATATAGGTCGCTTGAAGCTGCATAGCCGCGAGTAGAAAGGTTCAGAAGATTCATGCAATACAACAATGCCCGTACTGAATCCTTTCACTTGCCAGTGTAATACATGCTTCTTCATTTGGCTTTAATGGCAAGGCTGCTTCATCCCTGGCAAATTGATCATTGTTTACCAATGTTCCTGGATCCAAAAAATAAGACCATTTTGTAGAGCATACCCCGATCAGTCTATCAATCAGTTTGTTCATCGCGAATAACAGGTGTTTATATCCAGATTCAATACTTGAGTCACGACAAAGTGTTTCTATGTACCAACTCACACAACCCACATCCTGCTTTGGAGTCAACAAACCATGCAGAACGTTTATGACAACAACTGCTTCGTCAGCAATCATGATCCATGGGGGCGAGCGCCAGGAACACCGCAAGAAGATGCCACACCAAGATGCCCAAGTCTCCATGCAAATCAAAACGGAGGCGATAAAGGGAAGCATCGACTAAGCTGCCAAGAGAGCATTCTTGCCTATCAGAGGGAGAGTCAGAGAGAGAGAGAGAGAGAAAACAAAAAAAATGTAGCAGGTGCAGGAGATAAGACATGATAATACTCGCGGCAGAACTCTTTTAGGACAAATCTCTGTTATAAACGACCAGCTGGGATTGGTTTGCCAAGAGTTTGAGCAGGATGTAAATGAGTCATGAGAGGCTGAAGCTGGTGTACCTTTTGGATAACGGGGCTGCTCGTCCCCCGTCTTCGTGGGACATCCCTTTCCCCTTGGTGCCATAGCTTTTCACTGTGTGTTCGACTCGCCTGGAGTGGGTGTCGTTGCGAGACTCGACGCGCGAGACTCGATGGTGAGGAGCGGGTCCTCCCATATTGAAATCGATCCATTCCCGAGAATTCTGTTGTTTAAGCATTCGTTGTGGGGAAGGTAACGCGTGTGTGATTGTTGCTATCCGGCTCTAAGACATGTGGCATGTTTTGCCAATCATTCCATCATGATTCTTATCACTGACCACGACCACTATCATCCTCATCATCAACATCATCCTCATCGCTTTGTTAATCTCTTAAAGTAGATCAAGATCCAAACATCTCCAATCCGTAAAGCCCACCCCATCCAACCCGTCTCAGGAGGTCTCCAGTCGTGGCTTCTCCGTGGCCCAAGCGGCTCGGACACGCGCGAGCCCGGGAGCCTGGAGCTCGACATGGCGACACGGCGACGATTCGCCGGTGGTCGATGCTGAAGCGAAAGTTACTGTTTATGCCAGTAGTTGTCAGTAGTTCAAAAGAAAGGAGGAGAGGGTCAGAGGGTTTGTTTGAAAGCACATGTTTCACGTCAGAGGATTTATTGATGTCCAGGGCCTTCTAACGCTATGTAAATTCCTGCCCCCCCAGCCTTTCGATACCAAAATGCATGAATCGCTACCAAAACTCTGATTGGTGCCGCAAATCCACGTCTCGAGCAGTTTTTCTTAATTCGAGCACTTTTTGGTTTTGAGATGTTTTGAGATGGTTTTGAGCCATCTGAACAGCCATTTGGCTTTATGGGTCAGGGATATTGGTGCCTGGCCACGTGCGCCCTGGGAAGTCTGCAGTCCAAGAGGGCCAGTGCATGTTTTGTGTGTGCGGGCCAAGATCTGCTTGCCTTGGCTTGGCTGGGCAGGTACAGAATGATGGCCATGTCAAGAATTTTCTTTTAGGCACAGTCTGGGGAAGGTGCTCTGCAAGACATTTACAGTCGTTTCAAAACCTTGACCTCTGTAACTCTGCAGGCATTTGGCCTGTAGGACTCTAGGTGGTGGACCAAGTTTATGGATCAGGGTTTCCTGAAAAGGAAGTGCCTCTTGTACGCCATGCCTCTGTCTTCGCCGGTGGTGGAGGAATGGTCAAAATCTGATGTGCTGATGAATCGGGGAAGTCAGGGAAGTCTGGTTGCACTACCAAAGCAATACATCGAGCGCGCAGATGTGGTGACCAATTCTGATGTGATTGGGCCCCTTTTGGAACATCTTGGAACACGTGTCACGATTGATGGTATCCATGAACAAGTGGAGATGTTCTTGACCTTTGCCCGGCCACGTGGGAAGCCCCATGTTTCTGGTTCCTCAACTTGATCAATACATGCTGGTCTTTTTTGGGGGGGTAGGGGGTTAGGGAGCTGATGTACAAAGGACTTGCCTGGTTGCATTTGGCCTAGGTAGCAAAGTCCGTTTGGAAGCGTGGAAGATCAAGCGGCTAGTGACGATCTTCAATCGTGCTGCCAAGCGTGGACACTACCCCAGAGAACCCGGCATGCGTGCAATCTATCAGCAGGCTGGTATCCCGTTGCCAGCTGACCCACGTGACTACACAGCATTTAAGGCTTATGATTTCGGTGTGTTTGTGTGTGTGCGTGCGCCCTCTCCCTCAGCAACCTTTTTGATGGGAACAATTGAGGTTCGAGAGAGCCTTCAGACTCTGAAGATGATGCGGAGGGTGAAGAAAGCAGTGATGTACAAACAGTACCCTGGCTGGATGTTCAATGTTGACAAGTGCAAAGCAAGTAGCCATGCCCAATGCCCATGCCCGGTACTTATCCCTCTTGGATTGAAATGCCTAGGATGAAGAGGTGGAACCTGAAGCACTCAAACCTTCATCAGGCGGGCAAGAAATCTTCTTGGGTGTGTGTGTGGGGGTGGAGGGCTCAACATGGAATTGAAAGCTGTTTGGGACTTGGATCCCAAAACTTCAAACACGTTTCATCCTGGAATGAGGGTTTGATGTTGGCACTCCATTTGTCGAGAACACTCCCTTCATGCCCCTTCTATTGTCCTATGTCTGTTTTCCTAGTTCCCTGTGCAAACCCAGCCACAGGTGAAGATGCTGTGAATGAAGCTGCTGACAAGCTCGGTCAACTCCATATCACCTCAATTGAGGACAAGGCTGGCGCTCCGTCTGGTCCATCATCGGTGACAGCAACCCCACATCCTTCCCCCAGGGGACCCTTTGTTTGCAAATATGCTGAATATTGTTCAGTATCACTTAAATTGACATTCATGTTTGGCCATCCTTGTAAGGACACTCCTTGGAGCTGCCAAGTACTGAGAAGGCCTACCACCACAACATCTCCCATAACAATGACTTGTGGGAATGTGCTTCATGTGGGCTACGGTCTGGCAACCTTGACTCTATTAAAGGTGTCCCTTGCCGCAAGAGTGTGGGTGAGGAAGTGAAGAAACTTGAGACCAGTTTTGTTGCTTCAGAGATGGTGGTGTCCTTCTCTACTTGCTGGGTGGAAGAGATTGGGAAGATTTGCCGGAAGGAGCCTGATGCAGTCTGGCAACTTGTTTGTCAGGGGGGAAAGCGAATCAGAGCCAGCATCTCACCGACTGCAATCTCATTTTCAGAGATCCCTCAAGAACAGGAGTTCCCGCTCTTGGTGGAGCATGTCCCTGAGACTACTGTCATGGAGGAAGAACTTGAGAGGCTACAGCTTGAACAGGAACTCTTAGAGGAGCTTTTGATTCAACAACAGCTTGAGGTGCAGAACGAACAGCTAGAGCAGAAGGCCAAATCTTTGTCTGATTTGGCTTCGCACTTGAATTCGACCATTCCAGCTTCTAGCTCTGCAGCCCCTTCGAATTGTAGCTTGGCTCCATGTCAGTTTTCTTTAATTGCACAGGCACACATCTTGAGTCAGCTCTAGCTAGTGCTCAAATATAAGTACCGTTGCACCAAGGCCTGGATGGCTTTGACACTGTCCCCTATGATGGAGTGCTGGATGGCGGGGCTGCCTTTGCAGAAAGTCAGGTACCAGATCCTGGTACCCCAAAGCAGTTCGCTGATATGAAAGGTGGAGAGGTGACATTGCAGCTTGGTGGTGTGAGCCCAGCTGATGCTGGCATTGACGCAAAAGAAGCTGCTCCCAAAGTGGAGCCACCAAAAGAAGAGGCAAAGATACCTCAGCCAGAGCCAAATCCAAAGATTGCTGAGCCTAGTGCTTCTCGACCTTCAACTCCAGCGACTCCAGCAGTTCTGCGGGAGTTCATGGGAATGGGCTTTAGCAAAGATGAAGCAGAGGCTGCTTTGGCAGAGTGTGAGAATGACTCTCAGAAGGCTTTGAAGGCTCTTCTCGACTCCAAGAAGGACAGCGCAGCAGTTAAGGCAACACAGAAGAAAGAAGAAGTCTTGCCAGAAGACCCCAAGCCAGCAATTCTGAATGGTCTTCCAACTGTGACCCCACAAGATCAAAAGAAAAGCCAGAAAGCTTCAGCAAAAGGATCTGGACGAGGAGGCGGAAAAGGGCGTGGCAAAGGACGTGGGAATGGGCGTGGTGGAGGACGTGGGAAGAAAAAGGATGATGAGTCTGACAGTGAGACTCAGCACTATACAGAGGATGAGGAAGAGGCGAACATCGAAGAGGAAGAATGTAGCCCAAAGAAATCTGCAAAGAAGGCTCCAAGATCGGCGCAGCGCAAGCCCCGAAGGGCCTCTGTGGAGCCCAAGCAGAAGTCAACCAAGCCCAAGAGCAATTCAAAGAAGCAGGATGATGGAGAGAAAGCTCGAAAGAAACGTGGTGGTGAGGCTGATGAAAAGGCAGTGAAGGCAAGGAAGACGATGGTCAAGAAGGAGGAGGAGGAGGAGGAGCCAAAGCCTGTGCGGAAAAGGGCAAAGAAGAATCAGAAGCAGGGTGATGAGACCCATGAACATGGTAGCGACTTGAAGCAGGATTCAGCACAGGCTTGCAAACGGGAGCCAAAGGGAAAGAAAGTGAAAGATCAGAATGAGAAGATTGAGACAAAGGCAACCAATGGCAAACGGGCCAAAATGACTGAGGAGGAGGAGAAGAAGAAGAAGGAGAAGAATGCAGAGAGAAGTCGAAAGTCTTCGGCCTATGTTGCAGCCAGGAAGGAGGCACTGGAGAATGGGCACAGTGAGGATGAAGCGAAGAAGATTGGACGAGCGGTTGCCCAGCTTAATTATATGTTTCGATCATGGTCACATGACAAAGGTGGTTGATATGTGCACATGGATGCATGGCCCCTTAGTTTGTTACATACAGAATTGGGCTCAGGCCTATGCAGCGGCCACCTAGATCTATGTGCACGGTTCCTGGTGGGACCTTGTGGATGTGACTGGCTATCTGAAATGCTAGCCATGGGTTTGTGGGGGTTTCACGTGGATGCCAAAGGCATGGAGTGCACAGTAGCCTTCGTGTCTGTAGGCCATGAAGCACGTGAAGGCAAAGGGGTCTCAAAAAAACATATCAATTGTTGATCGTTGCACGGCACTTTGTTTACAAAAAACATTACGATCGATACAATTGAGAAACACATGCACACACCAGCTGATTGATCAATGTTTAATTCTTTTCTGAACGTGCTTCCTTCTTGGAGGTCACCATGCCCATTTCTGAGACTTGGGCCATTCGAGCGCTCAGTGCAGAAGGCGTGGATCGAGTGGCCTCACTCATGAATGGCAGGAATTTGCAAGGGAATGTTTTTGCACAACTCCGCTGATACCCTTAGCTGTTTTGTTTGCTCTTAGCTGCCTCCCTGGGACTGGCAATGGATTGTGAATCGATAGTGCTCAACTTGCGGCAGCTCAATGCACCAAAGGTGGGACACTCAATCCACTTCATGGGGCCCAGGCTGTGTTGGTTTTCTGGCCCCACTTAGGTCTTTATTGGGATCACCTTGCTGGTGATGTGGTCCACAAACCTCCCTCCAGTTCAGCCCCGTTTTCAGTTTTTGGACTTGTTTGCTGGCCAAGCGGCTGCCAGCAAAGAATGGTTTCTTGTTTGAAACAACTTTGCATGACATGAGAGAATGTTGTTGTTCTCAAGGGCCGGGTTTTGATCACTATCTACTCAGGACTGCGCAGGGCTACAGCTGTGCCACCATTGACAATATGTACTGCCCTGGATCAAAAACAATGGATTTTCTGTCGGCCCCAGGCTTTGCGTTCCAGGGTTGCGTTTGCAAGGCTGACATATGCTGGAACATGGGACATGTATTATACAGGTCTCATGTATGTCACGTCAGCATCATGTCAGCTCAGGTTGGTTGTGTGGACCATCCTTTGTCAATATCCTGAATCAGTCTCTTTAATGGGGCCAGAGTGTGGATCGTGGGGGTTGCCGGCAAGATCCACGTCCATGAGATCCTATGTAAACATATGGGGGGCCCTCCATCTGGCATTTGTGAAGGATGGAAATCAAACCATATCTCGGACTCCTAGTGTGCATTAGTGAGTGTGTATGCTCCTTGCCACTATTGTGAGCAACTTCTTTTTTGCATAAGGATTGTGTTGCTTTGCATGTTGATCATGGCCAAACACTGCTACTTTGTACTCGAGCAACCGGGAGCCTCCCTGCTGAAGAAACATCCTCGTTGGGAGCACTTCGCTAATCAGGTGTGCTTTGTACCTTATTTGCATAAGGTTGCAACTGCTCTTTCCCGACCATCATTAGGACAGGACACGTTGAATAGGATCCTGTTGGAGTAGGAGTGGAAATGGACCTCGAGGCCGGTACATGATCTGGGACTTAGCCCCCTTTGAAAGTGTTTGGTGGTGCCTTTGAACAAAATGGTTTTGACTCCAGTTCACATGAAATGTTTCTGGCTAAGGTATTTGAGACACGGTTTTGGATGCTTCTACTTGGAGGTTTGACAAGCAAGCCTACAGTGGTGTACTCCAATGGCTCATGGATTTCTGGGCTATACACTGGCCCGGTGACCAAAGAGTACAAAGAAAAACACACGCAGCTACAAACTACTCGCTAGAACCTGAGCTGTTAGAGGAACATGTGTACAACAGAATTCTTTTGTACAATTATCCTGATCAGGTCGCTATGTGAACAAAGATGGTGTTCGCAAGTTTACTGGGACATCTGATTTGAAACTCTCAGCGTCTAAGCCCCAGTGCTTTATTGCAACTTTGCCTACTGGCCTAATGGTCCCAGTGGTTCTAGAGTTGCTTGGGGGCCCCGTGCCAGGAGCTACCCAGCTGGATTTGCCGAGCGCCTTCTGGAATGCTTCAGAATGCGTGGGGCCTTTCCAGGTCATATGCGGCACCGGGGTGAAGTGGACACGTCCCTGACTGACAAGGAGCTGTTTGAACAGGTCCCCCTGGGTGACCCATGGATTGATGGCTGCCTGTATGAGGTCTGGAATTATTTGTACCAGAATAGGCACCTGGCAATTCCAGCTTCATGGGTTCAAACAATGAGGGACTTTGACCAAGAGCTGACTGCCCTTGCAGCTCAGTAGCAGTTTGACACTTGCAATGTCATATGTCTATACAATTGCCTCACGTGTACTTTGCCTTAGCCTATTCAACTCAGGTTACGGTACCAGAGCCTCAAAGGGTGGAGTACAACAGCTCGATTGGCTAATTCGATTGCCCACATCCAGTTTCTTGGGTCCTAATGCCCAGAATGCAAATTTAGACGGTGTTAGCAGCCTTTTTTGGGTTTCTTAGCCCAAAGTGGAAAACTGCTCGAGCGCAAATTCGTGCAAAACGGGCGCAAATCCCCGCAAAAACCCGCAAAAAGCCGCAAATTTAAAAAACGTCCCACTTTGATTGGAAATATGCATGTTTCATGTTTGCTAATAGATGCTTTT